ATTATATTATACAGCAGCAGCAGTAGCAGCAGCAGCAGCAGCAGCAGCAATTGGAGTTGCTGCTGCAGCAGCAGCAGGAAATATATATAGGAGGAGCAATAAGTGAATCTGTACAGAATAAAGACTGATAGATATCTCATGACTGCTGTATAATGGAGTAGTACCTAGACCACTTATCTGAATCATCTATTAATAAGGAATAAGAATATATATATAAAAATAAATAATAAAAAAAAAAAGAAATAATAAATATAAATATATATTAACTTACCTACAGATAAACTTCCTATAACATGTGTATTAGATATAGTTGTATGAATAATTGGTATATGGGGAGAAATCTCATTTTGAAGAATTGAAAAAAAATTTTGAGAATTTGAATTTGAAATTAATGAATAAGAATTTGTAAGTATACCAAATACACCTATTTCATTAGATGATTCATAATGTGTACCTATAAATATCATACAAATATATTATATATATAACAGAGGGGATTAATTTATTGTAGAGAAAAATACGAGGTCAATGATGGGCGTAACGCCAATTCTTTACGAGTTATATTCATGGAGGGATGAAGGGTAAGGGATTCGAGGCAGACAGCAGCAGCAGCAGCAACAGCAGCAGCAGCAGCAGCAGCAGCGACAGCAGGTAGATGTAGGAATGTCTAAGGAAGGACAGAGAGAGACTGAACAGCAGCAAAAGGGACAACAACCAGCAGCAGTAACAGGAACAGCAAGAGACTTACGGATCGCCATGGCGGCCGTGCATGCAGAGGAGAACGTTGGGTAACACCAAGGGGGACAGTAGATGCTGCTTGGGGTGTATAGGCAGCAAGTCAGAAAGAAGGATAAGAGACAGAAGAGCAGTACCAGCAACAAGAAAAAGAGAGACAGCCCCTAAGGAGACACTCTCCGTGTGCATGCTATTTGCTGCAGCAGCAAACTCCTTCCTTATACGGAGACAAATCGCCAAAAGGAGACACTTTATGCGTCCTGCTGCAGCAAGAAGCAACAACAGCAGCAGCTGCTACAATAGCAGTTGCAGCTGCAGCTACAACTACAAGAGCAGCAGCAGCGGCGGGAGAGAAAAGCAGCAGCAGCAGCAGCAGCAGCAATGGGCCTTCTTAGGTCCTGCTGCTTCTTAATGGTATTCCTATCTATTAATAGTATTTATTATATAAATAAAATAAAAAAAAGAAATAAAAGAAAGAAATAAAAGAACAACAACAACAGCAGCAGCAAGCTGCAGCAACAACTAGAACCACAGCAGCAGCAGCAGCAACAGCAGCAAACGGTGTGGGGCTGCTGCAGGAGACAAAAGAAGCGCTTTATTGAATAAAGCAGCAAATAAATAAGAGACAAAGAAAGAAAAATAATAAAAGAGACAAATTTTATGATTAAATAATATACAAATAAGCTGCTCCTGCTGTTGCTGCTGCTGCTGCTGCTGCTGCTGCTGCAGCAGCCGTAAGAGCTTCTGCAGCAGCAGCCGTAGCAGCTGTGTAGAAGGCCGCAGCAGCAGCTCACCACAGCTGCAGCAAAGCAGAGCAGCAGCAGCAGCAGCAGCAGCAGCAGCAGCAGCAAAAGCAAATAGTTAATAAAGAAAAAAAAAAATACAAAATAAAAAGGAGACACTTTTTTATTTTTATTATGCATGCATTATATAATAAATAAAAGTGTCTCCTTTTTATTTATTTATTTTTTTTTCTTCTTTTTGTCCCTTTTCTTGTATAAGGAGACACTTATCTGTTAATTAATAAGGGATAATAAAAAAAAGAAATAAATAAATAAATAAATAAATAAAAGAGACAAAAAAGGAGACAAAAAAGGAGACAAAAAGGGAGACACTATAATAGAGGGATATAAACAGTATATAAAAGGAGAGAAAAGGAGACAAAAAGGAGACAAAAAAACAAGAGAAAAAAACGAACAAAAAGGAGACAAAAAGAGATAAAAAGGAATAAAAAGACTAAAGGAGGCAAAAGGAGACAAATGTGTCTCCTTTTTCTCTATAAAAATGTCCCCTAGGGTTTAGGGTTTAGGGTTTAGGGTTTAGAGTTCGAGTATAACTCGTAGCTGTTCGGGTGTATAGTGAGGTAGGTATGAAGGTGTAGCAGCAGCAGCAGCAGCAGGAGCAGCAGGTGCTGCTGCTGCTGCTGCTTTTGCTGCTGCGACAGCAGCATCATATGTTTCTGTATACTGCTGCAGCAGCAAACTCTTTGCCCTCCCTTTTGCTGCTGCAGCAGCAGCAGCATCTATTATGCTGCTGCTAAGGGGACACTCAATAATGGTGGGGTTGCCAACAACAGCAGCAACGCATGCATTGCATCTTTGCTGCAGCTCTGCTGCTCTTGCTGCTGCTGCTGCTGCTTCATCTACGCCACCCTCTGTCTTGCTGCTGCTGCTGCTGCTGTTGCTGCTGCTGTTGCTGCTGAGGCCGCATGCATCACAGATAGCTGCTGCTTCTATTGCTGCTAATTCATTACATTTATCTTCTATAAGACTTTTAATTAGCTGCTGCTGCTGCTGCTGCACAGGGAGAGCAACAATCTGCTGCAGCAGCAGCACATCTTGCTGTTGCTGCTGCTCCTCCTCCTCCCCTTCTCCTTGTTGCTGCTTCTCCTCCCGCTCTTGCTGCTCGTATGTATTACTACTACTACTACCAGTACTACTACTACTACTACTGCTGCTGCTGCTGCTGCTGCTGCAGGTAAAGGAGACAGTCTGCAGCTGCAGGGCTGCATGCAAGCAGCAAATAGAATTAATAAAAAGGAGACACTTATTAGAGACAGTCATTAGATGTGTCATCTGCAGACAGTAATTGATGCAGCGGGGCACGTCACGACCTATAAGTGTCTCCAATCTATTTACAGCTAGCTGCTGCTGCTGCTGCTGCTGCTGCTGCTGTTGCTGCTGCTGCTGGGGAGGAGGAGGAGGGGTGCAAGAGGCGTAGGCTAGTAAGAGATCTTGTAAACGAGCAGCAAATGATGTAAGGAAAGGAGGAAGCATCTTCTTGCTGCTGCTGCTGCTGCTGCTGCTGGGGAGACCATCTGCAGCAGGAGGGGACCATTCTCCTGCTGCTGCTGCTGCTGCTGTTGCTGGCAGCGGTGGCAGCAGCAGCGCAGACTCTTCCCATTGCTGCTCGAATTGATCTAAGGCCTTGGAGGATAGATCTAATAGAAAGGAGGCTAACAAGGGTCTCCTCTGCTGCTGCTGCTGCTGCTGTTGCTGCTGCTGCTGCTGCTGCTGCTGGAGACGTATCTGAGGAGACTCCTCAACAGCAGCAGCAACAGCACGTTCTATTGCTGCTGCTGTTTGCTCCAGCAGCAAACCGACCTTGAATGCGGTAATGCCACAGCTGCTGCTGCTGCTGCTGCTGCTGCTGCTGCTGCTAAGGGCTGCTGTAACCTGAGCAGCAAGGGGCCCTTGTAGGGCCTCAAGGATAGCATCTAGCAGCGCCATAGGGTGCAGCAGCTGCTGCAGCTGCTGCTGCAGCTGCTGCTGCACTTCAGCAGCAGCAAAGTTGCTGCATGCATCCGAAGGAAGTATTGGGGTGTCTGATAGAGGCAGCCAACTCCTCTCGGGTGTCTGCAGCAGCAGTTCCTGCTGCTGCTGCTGGTGCTCGTGCTGCTGCTGCTGTTGCTGCTGCTGGTGCTGCTGCGCAGGCAGGGGTGTGTCCCCCAGCTCATCTGCCTCCCATGGATTGGCTGCTAAGGCGTGCTGTACTTTTTCCTGCTGCTGCTGCTGTTGCTGCTGCTGCTGCTGGTGCTGTTGCTGCTGTTCGAACCCTAGTGCTGCGGGGCCCCCACGAGCAAAGAGCAGCTGCAGCAAGGAGACAACAATTGCTGCTTCTGCTGCAGCAGCAGGAGACAGCCACCGCAGCACAGAAGCAAAAAGGCCTCCTGTCTCCTTAGCAGCAGCAGCTGCAGCAGCAGCAGCCAAATCAAATGGGCCTCCTCCCCAATAAGGACACTCAAATTGCTGCTGCTGCAGCTGCTGCAGCAGCAGCTGCCGCCGCAACCGCAGCAGCTGCTGCACACACTGCAGCAGATATGCGGGGTGTCTGTACAGATCAGCAAATGCACCCCACAAGACACAGCTGTCTTCTGCTGCTGTTGCTGCTACTGCTGCCGTTGTTGCTGCTGCTACTGACGATGCTGCTGCTGCTGCTTCTGCGTGTTCCTGCTGCTGCTGTTGTTGTTGTTGCTGCTGCTGCTGCTGCTCCTGCTGCTGCTGTTGTTGTTGTTGCTGCTGCTGCTGCTCCTGCTGCTGCTGCTTTGCAAGGTCGACGAGTGCTTTGAAGGCAGATGTGGTGGCAGCACTTCCTGCTGCTGCTGGTCCTGCTGCTGCTGCTGCAGCAAGTTGCTGCAGCCGCTGCAGCAGCAGCAGATAAAGCTTCTCATGACCAATAGAATCTAACTCCTTCATCTGCTGCAGCAAGCTGTCAATCAGGGGAAATGATGCTGCTGCTGCTGCTGCTGCTGCTGGTGCTGCTGCTGCTTCTGCTGTGTCTGCTGCTGCTACTGTTTCTGCTGTATCTGCTGGTGCTGCTGCACCTGCTAGTGCTGCTAGTTGCTGCAGCAGCTGCTTCTTCTGCTGCACCTCCGCAAGCGCAGAGCGAGTGGCCTGTAGCTCCCTAGACACTGCGTCTTCCTGTTGCTGCTGCTGCTGCTGCTGTGTACTGTCTGCTGCATCACCTGCTGCTGCTGCTGCTGCTGCTGCTTCCTGCTGCTGCAGCTGCTGCACCGGCGTAGTTAATACCTTAAATGCTGTCTGCTGCAGACACAGCCTATTTAATATATGCAGGCACAGGGCCTCCTTCTGTGTCAGCTGCTGCTGCTGCCGCCGCAGCTGCAGCAGCTGCTGCAGCAGCGGCAGCAGTTGCTGCCTATTAGCATTAAGACGATCTAGTGCAGCAGATAAGGAAGACTGCAGATCTGCTGCTGCTTGCTGCAGCAGCAGCAGAGAAGGAGACACACGATTAAATGCATGCAGCTGCTGCCTATACACCTCAAGCTGCTGCCGCCGCACAAAGAGAGACAGACGATCAGACATAGATAGATCTTCTGCTGCTGCTGCTGCTGCTGTCCCCTGCTGCTGCTGCTGCTGCTGCCAACCATGGGCGTCCAGACACCTGATACTCTCTGCAAGACGGGATATATCCGTTTGCTGCTGCTGCTGCAGCACGTCCCTTACCATCTGCTGCAGCGGCCCCTCCACAGCAGCAGCAGCAGCAGCAGGGGTTTCCTTGCCATTCATCTGCTGCTGCTGCTGCTGTTGCTGCTGTTCGTCTTGTATCGACATCTTAGATTCTAAATTGTCTGACAGTCGCAGCTGTTGTTGCAGCTGCTGCTGCAGCGGCTGCTGCTGCTGCTGCAGCGGCGGCTGCTGCCGCTGCAGCATCTCGCTTGTAGTTCCGTTGCAGCAGCTGCTGTTTGCTGTTTGCTGCATGCAAGAGGCAATCAGCCTCAACACATGGGCTCTGTTCCTGCTGTTGCTGCTGTTGCTGCTGCTGTTGCTGCTGCAGTTGTTGCTGCAGTTGCTGCTGCAGTTGCCCCGTCTCGTTGGTGTCCACTTGTAGCTGTGTACCCTGTTGTTGCTGCTGTTGCTGCAGTGGTTCCTCACTGCTCGTGCTGCAGTTGCTGCTGTTGCTGCTCGTGTTGCTGCTGCTGCCACTAGGCAGCAGCGAGCCTATAAGAGGAGGCAGGAAGACAGGCAGCAGAACAGTTAGCTAAGGTGACACGTGAGTTATCTGCGGCTATTGCTGCTGCTATTGTTGCTGCTGCTGCTGCAGTTGCTGCAGTTGCTGCAGCTCCTGCTGAGACCGCCTCACTGCTGCCTCAGTCGCCGCAGCAACAGCAGCAGCAGCAGCAGCAGCAGCAGCAGCAGCAGTAGCGAGGGTATTAATCACGGAATAATTAGTGTGTAAATAGAAAAGCAAATAAAAGTAAATAAAAGAAATAAATATGCATGCAATAAAGCCCCAAAAAATACCCTTTATTATAATTGAGGTGTATATACACCTGGGGGCCCCCCTGTGTATCCCCTTATAAGTATTGGGGCTTTATTGTTGCCTATAGGTATATGCATGCATTTATTTCTTGTATTTTTATCCTTATATTCTTTTATTTTATTATTTATTTTTATTTATTTTATTTACTAAGAAAAAAAAGACCCATTTATACCTTTTTAGGGGGGCCCCCACTGTACCCTATTCCCCTTTATAAGGGGGCCCCCCCCCTTCTCTTAATAGAAAAAAGGACTAAGGAGACTCTTTTTTTTCTTGTTTTTTTTTTGTTTATTAAGGAGAGAAATAGATTATATAATTATTTATATATAAATAAATATATAAATATATATTTATTTATATATAAATAAATGT